AGTTGTGAGGAAATGTCTTCTTCAGCTTCTTACACAGTCCATGCACTTCAGCCTGGCCAGTCACAAAAACTAAAATTCCCCCGGGTGGTAGGGTACGGTGAATTTTACACACTTTGCGGAACGCCTCATTTAAGTAGTCGTCAGGTGTCCTCTTGTTGAAATGGACCGTCACAGGAAATTGTCTGGACTCGACAGTAACTACAGGAGGTGGGGAGGGAAACAGACGCGCATTACCTGTAAAGTCCTCCACGCGGAGGGTGGCGGACATTATAACCAGTTTGAGTTGTTTTCCTTGGCTTTTACGCATTGGGACTATTCTGGAAAGTAAACCCATGAGAATATCTGTGAATACGCTGCGTTCATGGGCTTCGTCGATGACAATGACTGAGTATTTTGACAAGAAAAAGTCCTTTTCGATTTCCTTGAGAAGCACACCATCTGTCATGAACTTCATGATGGTCTTTTCGGTTACGTTGCCTTCGTAACGAATCTGATAAGAAACCAGCTCAGTGCTCATATTCAGCTCCAGAGCAACACGGCGTGACATTGTCACGGCAGCCACACGCCGCGGTTCTGTCACGCCAATCAATCCTCGTGTTGTGTAACCGCCCTCGTAAAGAAACTGAGGCACTTGCGTGGTCTTTCCACTTCCGGTCTCACCGCAAAGAATCACCACGTCGTTGTCATGAATCGCTTCCATGACAGCCTGCTCTTCGGCGAGAATCGGAAGTTGAAGCCTGGCGGCTTGTATTTCCGGGTCTCTTTTCACTTCTTTAAAGATGGCTGGCTCAGACTCCGGTTTCGTCGGCGCCACATTCTTTGCAACTGTCTCATCTTTTGATTGTACAAATTTTTCGACTTTGACTTCATTCGCTCCGGCTTTGAAAGCTTTCCTAGAGTCAGATAGCTCACTCTTTAGCTTTTCTTTGTCTGTACATTCAGTTGCTACATCTCTATTTGAATGTATACTTTCCATGCCCTGATTTTTCTCCGCCAAACGTTGACTGTTACTATTCTCATCATCACTTTCAGACGACTCTTCAGAGTCGAATTCTTCCTCTGCCTCTTTAGTGATCTTAGCAGGAACAGATTCATGAGCTTTCTTCTCCAGTCGAAGTTTCTTTCCTTTCTTTCGGCCACGGCGAATACTAGAGACAATACCCCTTTCAACCGTGTCTGTTTGACTGTCATCTTCCGACAACTTCCGCTTCCTGGTTATGTTCAGCTGACCAAGATCGGTTGTAGAACTCATTTGAGCTAGTTCTTTATCGCTTACAGCATGCTCGGAAAGCGCTTTGAGTAATTCTGCCCTCTTCGCTTTCTTTCGTTTCGTCTCCACAATTTTCTCCAGCTTTTTACGCTGCTTCTTGGTGAGGTTCTTTCGCTTCTCATTCGGATCCTTGTGAGTCACCTTAACTTTGTTTTTCTTGCTTGAAGTAACAAGGATGTTGGTGTCGTCATGAGATTTGCTGTATTCCTCATCTTTAGTTGATTTTTCGATGACATCTTTATGGTCCAACGATGGCGTTGATTTCTCACTTTCCTTTGCTGTTTCTGGCTGCAGTCTCGCCTTCCAGTTATACTTTTTCCTCATTCGACCCATGATTTCAATTTCTTGCAATGGTTAAGCAATTTCAAGTCGCGGAAAATCGAATTTCAAACACACGTGGATAAACTTTGTCCGCCATATTGCAAAACTTCCTCTAATGGGGTTGCTCGCTGACCCTGTATTATGGGCTCATGTACTCGAGCAGCCCTGGGAAGAGAAAGAAATCTTGTTCCAGGCTTCACCGAGCGTTCTCTGCACGTTTTCCAAAATGGAGGCCGATTTGTATGATGAATTTGGAAACTACATTGGCCCTGAACTTGAAAGCGACGAAGAAAGCGAGGAAGAAGAGGAGGCTGATGAAGAGGACGCCATAGAATATGTAAGTGTAGTGGTTTTGATTAACCCATAACGTAAAAGGACTGCAGTGAAATCGTGAACTTCTCTTTTGGCTTGTCTTTGAAACGCATTCGAAACGTCGGTAAAACGACGCTCACATGGGCCGTTTCTGTATTCTAACACGTGTTTTGAAACCGTAGAACAAGATTTTGATCTCAGCAGCAAGTGCCTTGAGTCAGTTTAGTTCTAGCACAAAAGTGTTACAACGTTTTGGAAATCATGCTGAACTGAACTTACCAAAGTCGATAAAACTACCGGGAAGTGTCGTGATCTAAGGCTTTGTTCTCACTACCTCAAGTTCCCAGTTTGTATCCCTTAGAACTCCGGAATCAAGTTGTCCTTTCAGGCTTTGAAATGTATACATGTATAGTTATGAAGTCATTTAACTCTACTGCTAGCTACTGTGTAAAATGATAAGTTTATTACATGTTGATGTAACTCCATTTGACTTTGAGATACAATTTTTACATCAACATCTTTCAGGCAGAAGATGATGAAGATGAACAGATGGACCAGGACGAAGAGCCTCAAATGCAAGTCGTTCTTCATGAGGTACAGTTTCTAGTGCTAAAAAACATAGTCTGGAAAGAAATGATGGTTTACAGTATGCTGCTCGGTTGAAATAAAAAAAAAAAAAAATAAAAAATGTCAGTCAGTGACTCAAGCTGCAATGTACTCTGATGTACGGATTCAACAATTTTGGTGAGGGTATTGTATGACCTGCTTACTGAAACCCTTATGTGGGGCAGGGGTGGTGCAGTGGTGAAAACGAATGCCTTCCACCAGTGTAGCCTGGGTTAGAATCTTGGAACTGGTGTCATAAGTCGGTTGAGTAACTTGTTGTTGTTTCTGGATCACCAAAGAGTTGAATGTTCAGTTTTCTATTTTTATGTATTTTCCTCTAAGTCTCATATATATGTATGTGTGTCTAAAGTGTGATTGCATGGTCCTTAGCATGAATTTGATCAGTACTAACTAAAGATGCCTTTAGCTTTACCAACATCACATTTCTGAAAATTCTTACAGCTGCAACACTTATTTGTACTCTGAAGGTGTAAGATTGATCTTGTGCATATATTATTGGTTTGCAGGATAAAAAGTATTACCCTACTGCAGAAGAGGTGTTTGGACCAGAGGTCGAGGTAAGAGGAGCCAAAGTTATCCTATTATCCTATCAGCATGCAGAATGGCACTTAAATTAATACGAGTGTAGCTAGAAATGTCAAAAAAAAAAATGTATACATTATGTAATTATCTCATTGTAATTGTTCTATTTTTTAGACTGTTGTACAAGAGGAAGATACACAGCCTCTAACAGGTTTATAATCCATTTACAAAATTAGTGATAATCATAGAATGCTTTATAGTTGCTTTAGGTTACTTTACATGTACATGTATGCTCACACTTGGTGTCCAAGCTTGGTGCCCAAGTTTGGTGCCTGAGTACAATGCAAGATTCTTGCCAGGCACTAATGTGAACACACCTAAATTTTCCTCAGTACTCACTCCAGAATTCAGGCATATTGCACATGCCTGGATACATGTTCTTCACCTTGTACCCAGGCATTAAATGGTGCTTGAGTTCTTGGAGTACCTGGTGTCTGAATGCAATGTTATTTTGGGCTGGTGCCTAGGCATTAGCATTTAATGAGCACCAAGTGTCTGGACAAGTATGAACCTAGCCTTAGTCACATGTGAATATATGAAAAAATAGTTATACTGGTACATTGAAGTTTAGGCATATTTGTTGTGAAAAATAATATTCAGTTGAAATTGTAATTTGCAAGAGTGAGTACAAATAAAGATTGATTATTATTATCAGTTATCAACTTTTTGTACCTTTCTATGCCTAATGTTAAACGTACCAGCTAGTATTTTGAGAAGTGTTTGGTATTGTAAATAATGTGTGTATTCCATGCCTTGCATTTCACAGAACCTATAATCAAACCTGTGGCAAAAAAGAAGTTCTTTCATGCTGAGCAGGATCTTCCCACGACAACTTATGATGTTGAGTATGTACTGCATATAATTTATAGCTGCTACTGGTGTCCATCAGAGAATCTAAAATTCAGTTTTGTTGTAGGTATTTGGCAGATTTAATGGACAACCCAGTTCTCATCAGAAATATTGCTTTGGCGGGGCATTTACACACAGGGAAGGTAACTTTACAATTACTTGTTGCTGAAAATTATGTTAATTGACGTACTTTCATTTAATGTTTCAAGAATAAAAGTTTCAACAATAAAATGTTTTTCTTTGTGATTTGACTTTGTAGTCTGTTTTTGTGGATTGCCTCTTTGAACAAACTCACCAGGACATCCAAGCAAAAGAAGGAACTGACGTAAGTCTCAGAGCTACATTACTTATTAAAAATAAGTATAAATAAGTAATAAATTTTATGTACACTGTAGTACAATGTAAGAAGTTAACTTGCCACATGTTGTAGGGAGCAGTATGGGCACAGTGGTGAGAGAGATTGCCTCAACTAATGTGGCCTGGGTTTGAATCCTGGACCTGGTGTCACAAGTGGGTTGAGTTTGTTGTTGGTTCTTGCCTTGCTCTGACATTTTTTCTCTGGGTTCTTCAGTTTTCCTCCCTCCACAAAAACCAACAGGTCAAAATTTTGATCTGGAAACTGTAGACAAAGTGCCTCTCCATGGGATGTGCCACCACAAATTGCTATGTATATAATTTATTGTTTATTTACATGTATTTATTATTTATTTAATATGTACAGTACATGTAAGAAGTTATCTCACCACCTGTTGACAGTAATGTTTGCTGAATGAAGTTATATTTAACTTTTTTGTCTTTACAGCTTCGCTATACAGATACATTGTTTACTGAGCAAGAGGTAAGATATTGTCTGCAGTAAAAGTGCATTTTGCGTAATTTTTGTGTCAACTGAATAAAACAAAGCATACAAATACCATAAGATTTATTACTGTTTCCTTTCAGCGAGGTTTGAGTATAAAGAGTGTTCCAGTATCTCTCGTTTTGCCAGACACCAAAGGGAAATCATTTCTGGTCAACGTTTTTGATACTCCAGGTAAGATCATGGACAGCAGTACCTACATGTGTTGTAAAACAGAACAGAGGAGAATTTGATGATTATTTTTTAGATTAAAGCTTTGCCTGTGGATGAGACAGAGCTTGACATTGTGACTGCTGGGGTTGCCAACGCGACCAAATTTTTTTCACTGGCAACTAACTTTTCACGCTTTTCACTGAAATACTTTTGTTGGTAACTAAATCTGAAAAGCTGGCCCCAAGGTTTTTTCCTGAGAGTCAAGCCCTGTGAGATAAAGAATTAAACTTGATTTCACATGTGAAAAGTCTGTGATGGTGTTTGGAATTTTGAATCAATTACAGTTGTCCCATGTGCCTTAACTAAAAACGTTCAATTTGTATTGATTAAGCCTTTTCTTCCCTTTGTTCCTTTGAAATTTGCATTTCTGCAGGGCATGTAAACTTCTCTGATGAGGTCACGGCGGCATTGAGACTGTGTGATGGAGTTATGATTTTTATTGATGCATCAGAAGGAGTAAGTGACTTTTGTGTCTCTTTTAAATTTTTGTTATACTGGAATTCAAAGTAAATTAGGTTGATTGCAGAGAGAAGTGGATGTTCATGTAGCATTCACATGATTGCATACATTGTTGTAATGCAGGCAGGTCAAGAGCTTTTATCTACTGAAATACTCACTCATGCATTCGTTTATCATTTCTATTTCTCAGGTGATGTTGAACACAGAGCGACTTCTTAAACATGCTGTTCAAGAAAGACTTGCAGTAACTATTTGTATAAACAAGGTAAGATTTGGTGTAACTAGCAGTGTACTGTACTTTGAAAGATCAATTCACCCACAGCTGGTTACAGTGGCTGTGTTCGCCAGTTCCTTCCCCTTTGTTACATGCATACAGTATATATCTCAGTAAAAAGACGTTCTTTATTGTCACAGTTGCTATCATCTTCTGATCCTCATTTCTACTATTGAAGTTGTTGTTAGCAACATCATCATCATTGTCATTAAATACCATTATTGAAATCTCACGAGTTTTGGTGTTGCACACTCAAGGAAACTGTTAAATATCTTCTTTTTTTATCTGATTCCTTTAATTTGAGGGTGGGTTTTAGGATGATAATGAATTTGTAATGTTCAGTGCCAGAAAATATCCATACTCCCCCAACAGAAGGGATCAGAATTTCCTGGGAGGTGTGGGGTTCTCTAAGATCAAAAATGTAAAGAAATGTATCAAGCTTAATTGGAATTTCCAGAGGGGTGGGGAGGTCTCGGAAAATCGGGGAGGTATGGATATTTTCTGGAACTACACAATTTCCCATTTTTCATCAGATTGACAGATTGATTCTGGAGTTGAAGCTTCCTCCTACAGATGCCTACTACAAACTGAAACACATTGTGGATGAAGTCAACGGACTTTTAAGGTACATTGACATTGCTGAACCCTCTCCTCTTAATCTTAACATGTAAATTCTCCAAACTTTTTTGGGCCACAAAAATTCAGGCATATGCTTGCCATAGTTGTAGAGCATTGTATAATGGCTCATGATGCCTAAACTGATGAAAACTCTCGATTGTATTATCCAATGATTCCCAGCCCTAATTGGGAGTGGCCAATTAAGTATACGAGTATACATTCAGTTTTTAATAATGTTGGATATATCACGTTTCTTTCAGTGTCTACTCTGATGGAGC